GGTCCGATTTTCACGAAATTTGAACTCAACCTTCCTTAGGGTGTAACGGTGATAAAATAATACGTTTTTTTAAATCGGATAAAATTATGACCTCTACAGGGTCCACAAGCTAAAAACGCGCGAGCGAATTATTGAAATAAAATTGAACCATATGTTAGTCCCGAAATGACCTTATCTCTGCTTAGCCTTAGGAAAATCATAAACAAACAACAAGATTATGAACATGTTAACGATTGTATACAGAGTCAGTTAAAAGCCTGATTAAATAAATGTGTTTTAAGTTGTTTTTTAAACGAATATAGAGATGTACAACATTGGGAAAAGATATAACGCGACAACCCGACATCACGACATTTTTACCCGACATCACAACATTTTTACCCCACATTACGACATTTTTAGTGTCGTAATGTCGTGTAAAAATGTCGTGATGTCGGGTAAAAATGTCGTGGTGTCGGGTTGTCGTAATGTCGGGTAGAAATGTCGTGATGTAGGGTTGTCGCGTTATGAAAGGCGACATCACGACATTACGACATGATACCAATCAGCCACCATACTTATGCCATTTCTGATTTCATAAAACTAATTTAGCATTTTCATTATCACCGGAAATAATGTAATTTTGTCAGGATCACTTACATGTAACAAATGTATACAATGAATTGATATTACTGGATTTGGTTGATTCTGCGTACATTTTACTTGGTGTGTGCAATGCTTATATAGAAACCTTTTTAATGGTTTCATCGGTACCGAAAGTGACACATGTTCAAGGGTAACGGGGCACCCGTGAAACCCGTCATTACTGCGTTGCAGTTCTAGTTAACCAATTAAGATTATGAGCCGACAAGATTAGTCTCTCAGCTATTAATTAGCTTTCATGATCAATAATGGTATTATTGAAAATATCAACAATGTGAATAAATTTATGACGATTATTGTCTTATTTTGATTTGGTTATTTGTGATTATTTGTAATAAAGAAAATAACTCTTATTGCAGTAGTCTGTACTGACATGCCATGATATACTTGGAATCAATTAATTATTTGACTTGTTTGAATTATTATTATTTCAGAAAATTTATTATTGTGCGCATTATGTGGGTCCTGACTATTTCTAAGGACATTTCATTATCCGGCGAACTGTTAAACCGGATGGCAAAATAAACACCATTATGCAATACATCTTTTAATAATCCCTCTGTCTCTTTCGTCTACGATGTGTTCCTCGACAGTTCGACGATTATATTCTTCACTTCCATCAAAACGCGTACACCAACACTGATATCGAACCGACATCGTAAAGAAAATTAGTTTAATTATAGAAGAGTGTGTCTCAAATAACTTAATGTAGCGCCCGCTTCCACAATGAAGTGATTTGACGAAATTACATGGGATTTATATAATATATGAAATTTCATGTCCTCCCACCAATACTCAACTATGTACTTTAATCTGACGGCTATGGAAACCATCTATATGTGACGATTGTTAAATAAGTTTTGCTAGGTCTAATTAATTATTAATGAAACACTGTTCAAACCCTCACGGTATAGGAAACCATCTATGTGATGATTGTTAAATACGCTGGCTATATAACAATTATTATTGAACAGCTAACATTTTTTTGTTTATAATATAAATATAATTGCAAAATGGTTATCTATTTAAAGTTGCAACGAAACAAGTACGGGTTACGTACATTGTACTAATTTCAACACGCAAAACAATAAACTGGCTATGAGCTACGGGTTGCGCGGTACTCATTTCAACACGCAAAACAATAAACCGGCAATGAGTTACCGTTTACGTGGTACTAATTTCAACCCGCAAAACAATAAATTGTCAGAACAAAAGAATATATATAGACATACGGTAAATTTAGCTTATCGCTATATACCCGGATATATTCAAATTGGGGCCTGACTGCTGGATACTTATAAATGACGACATTGTTACGACAGATTAGGGTCCATATTTATATTTTATTATGCAACTTTATAAGTGGCGTGACTATAAAACACATACTGCGTCTTATGTTCATCAACAAATACAAAAGACACATAGAAGAAACAGCCCCATACAACTTCCACATATAAACTCCTGTCTTTATACAAAGTCCTATTTGCGAAAAACACACCGGCGAATGAAAAATCGCACGGTAAAAACAATTTTCCTTCCCAAGTTTCCATTTAACACTCGCGCGTCAGATAAAGTCGGTTGGTCCTTGATTATACCCTTTTGTTGCAGTTATAACAACTATCGAGAAAACACACCAATTAAACAATACACACCGTGTCATTCGTTTTTAACCCGTCGGTTAATTAACATACTCAGTACAGAAAACGCACCGTCCCAGAGTTGTTCACACCTAGCGATAATTAACTCGCCTTTCAGTCCATTTTTCACCCTTGTTAATTAACACACCTTATCTAGAGATTTTAAGCCATAATGAGGAGTTATAATCCGAATTTTATTTTTTTATCGAGATACGTAGGTATTGACCGTTTTGCAAGTTTTTAATGCGGCAAACGTACGTTTTAACCTTTACCTATTTCTCAGATGATATATATCTGCTACTAATGGGTGATCAAGCTGTTTGTTATTTATTGCTTGTAATGAGGACAAAGAATCAGTAAAAATTATATATTTTAAATTAGATGATGATTGAATAAACTCCAAAGCCTGAAGAATAGCCTGGAGTTCAGCTGTAAAGATGGAAGCAGCAGGTGGGAGGCGGACAGAAATGGTCTCAGATGGTGTCACGGTAGCCAAAGCTACCCGATCATCATCTTTCGAACCATCTGTATATATTGGAGCATAATCACCATATTTAGACCTTAGCTCTCGAAAGAGAAACTGGAACACCGTGGAGCTTGTATCTCTCTTTTATCTCGATCTTTGGGAGAGATATAGCCCACGGCGGAGTTCTAAAGAAAGGGAGAGAGAAATGGGGTTTAACATGTACTCGACACAAACTAGGTCATTTCGTGACTAACATACGGTTTAATTTTATTTCAATAATTCGCTTTCGTGTAGGGGTCTTTAGCAGTGGGAGGAAACCGGAGGACCCAGAGAAAACCCACAAGATTAGACCGACGACCCTAATCCTTGACAAGTACAACCGGAGATTCGAAACTCTCAAGATTGGGGTATTCGCAATACTGTCAAGGCTGATACCAGCCTCAGACAAAAGGGGTTGTATGCGAATACCGAAAGGTTGAATAACATTCGTTTTGACCAGTTATAGTTGCTCATGATAAGGTCTAAATATGTTGTTAAATGAAATATGATTTGGTAAAGATGCTATTTTCGTAGCATACTGCAGGGCCAGTTTATCACGTCTGTTGTGCAGTGAGGGCTCATGCGCCTCAACGTATAAACTGTCCACTTGAGATGTACGAAATGCTCCTAAACTGATTCTAAGTCCTTGGTTGTGTATGGTGTCGAGCTCTTTGAGATAAGACTCGCGGGCAGACCCATACACAATACACCCATAATCGAGTTGTGATTTTATTAATGCTCGATATAATCGGAGCAAGACTCTCAATATGTTGAGGGCTTTCAGACATTTCTTTTTGAGGCTTTTAATGTGGGGGATTAAATTTGGTTTCATCCACAACTGGAAGGCAGTTGCCATCCAAGAAAAGTTCTGGATCAGGATGCAAACCTCGTTTCTGACAGAAATGCATGCAGACAGTCTTGGATTTCAAAAAACAAAATCCATTTTCTGTTGCCCATTGTTGAAGTGAATTCAAACAAAGTTGCAACTTACGTTCGATTATCCACATGTCTGTGAAACCATAGCACATCTGAAAGTCATCAACATAAAGAGTGCCGTTTGTACCTGGTTTAAGGCACGCTGGGATAGTATTAATTTTTTATTGCAAAAAGAGTTGGAGATAAATACTTCCCTGTGGAACCCCCGGGTCAGAGAATATTGATCCCAGTCATACCTTAAATGACCTATCTTCCAGAAAATTGTTTAATGACGATAGGTAAGCGCCCTCGTAGGTCGAGGTTATGGAGGTCGCGTCTGATACTGTGTTTCCACGTGGTATCATATGCTTTCTCCAGATCAAAAAATATTGCAACTAAATGTTGCTTCTGGATGAAAGCGACCCTGAGGGAAATTTTGCCCAGGCAACGGCACTATCACCTACTCTTATATCGAATTCCAACTGCCGGGGGATCTTTTACGTGCATTCCAATATATACACGGGACCTCGGTTTTTCGTGCCATCCGAACGACTAGACAGCTGTTGGTTCCCCCCGGAAAATCTGGATGATCTTTCTCGGCCAATGCAGGGATCGAACACCCGACCTCCAGGCTAGCGAGCCAGCGTCTTATCCACTTAGCTGAAATTCAATAGGATTCTTCGTTTCACTTAATTGAATAATGTATATAAATTTCGTACAGATTACATGATAACTTTCGTCATTCGAATGTTCAAAAGGTGGGGCAATAACTCTATACGTAATAATTGGAATTTGCTGAAATTCAATAGGCTTCTTCGTGTTAGTAATTTAAATGATGTGTATAAATTTCAAACGGATGATAACTTTTGTCGTTAGAGCATTCACAAGGTGCAACAAAGTGAAAGAAGGGCCCTAACTGCAGATGATTGCGGAAATTCAATGATTCTTCGTTTTACTAATTTATATGATGCATATAAATTTCATACAGATCATACTTTTGTCAATCGAGCATTCATAAGGTTCAACAAAGTGAAATAAGGACCATAACTCTAGAAGAAATTAACAGAAATTATTGAAATTAAATAGGTTTTTTCAACTCACTGATGTGAACAAAATATATCAATTTCAAAACAATCAGATGATAAATGTAGTCTGTAGAGAGTTCCCAATACGTGGGCGTATAAAAATAATTCACCAAATGAACATCCATCTCGGCTCAATTAGAAGCAGCATGATTGTGTTTTCCGAAAAGAGCTGTGCGTAATAAACGTTTATAATCAACTTTTACATGTTTAACTTACCTGTATGTTTTTGGTACAAAGGATAAAAGTGCACCTTCGTTATGGCTAGAAAACTTTAATTGAGCCAGATTATGTATAAAGAAATTAAATTGAGTGAACACAGATTTGATACTCTCTTCTATCATCCTGAAATACAATCAAAAATATTTACAACAAGGAGTTGCCATGCTAGATACGTCCATTTTGCAAGAGATCTTTGGGTTATTAACTTACATTTCAAGTTTCATCAAAATCAAAAGAAAATTGTGACCTCTAGAGGGTCCACAGCATTGATATACCATATTTTTTACACTATTTGAGTACAGGGGGAGGCCATTTTGTCTGTCAGTTTTGGTCCGATTTTTACGAAATTCAAACTCAACTATCCTTAAAGTATATACCATATTTTTATGCTATTTGAGAACGAGCGGTGGCCCTTTTTTTCTGTCAGTTTTGGGCCAATTTTCACGAAATTCGAACTCAGCCGTCCTTAGAGTGTAACGGTGATATACTAAAACGTTTTTTTAAATCGGATAAAAATTATGACCTCTATAGGGTCCACAAGCTAAAAACAAGATTTTTCGTACAATCAGGGGCCATAATTCTGGAAGTTAGGGTCCACAACCTTGATATACCGTATTTTTACGCTATTTGATATAATAATATGATTTTTTAAATGGGATAAAAATTATGACCTCTATAGGGTCCACAAGCTAAAAACGCAATTTTTCGTACAATCAGGGGCCATCATTCTGGAAGTTATGGTCCGATATGGGCGTATAAAAATCAGGAAAGTAATGTATTTATACATGTTGTGAATGTTATGAAAAATTTTATACAGCTGATTTAGCAGTCGATTCTGATGAGCAGACGACACTTTGTAACCATGCTTCAAGTAGACTGAGTGATATCGATAGCCAGTCATGTGACCGGCAGATCGCACCTACTGAAATTTATACAGCAATTAACGGTATGAAACGAGGCAAATCCCCGGGTAATGACGAATTAACTGTTACTTGGTATTTACGCATGTGGGATGTGATAGGTCCTATCTATTCATATATTTTAAATCATATAATTAATGTTCAATCCTTATCTCACACAATGAAATATGGGGTTATTTCCTTATTTTATAAATTGAAAGGTTATAAGCGAGATCTGAAGAATTTTAGACCTATAAACTTGTTGAATGTTGATTACAAGATATATTCTCGAATTTTAGCTCTAAACTATATGGTCAGTAATTAGTACACTTATCTCGCCTGATCAGTCATGTGTTCCAGGTCGAGATATTGCCAGTAATATATTCTCGATTGGAGTTATTTTAGATTTTGTAGACTTTGAAAACATACAATGTTATTTATTAAAATTAGATGCCCTTTAGGCATTGGATAGAGTGTCTCATTCCTATATTATTTCTTTTTTAAAACACTTCAACTTTGGAACTAATTTTATTAACCATGTTAAAACTTTATACACAGATGTACGTAGTTGTGTTAGAATTAATGGTCATTTGTCACGTTCTTTTCCCGTTACCATGTCAGTCAGACAGGGCTGTCCATTGTCTGCACTACTGTATGTCCTTACGGCACAACCTCTAAACGCCCTCATCAAATCTAATATTAATATTACTTGTATTTCAATACCCGGCTTCGTTCGTTCGTTCGTTTCTGGAGTTTTACGTCCACTTCCACCTAAGGTGATATCGTAGACAAGACCTGGCTTCCCCACCCGATCTCTTTTATATCAGCACGCTGTCAACTGTACGCTCACCCTAGCTAATATGTGGTCCCAAAGACACCTTACTTTAATGGGAAAATCTTGTTATTAATATGTTATATATGTCAATTTCATGGTATCCATTAAGAATCTTAAACATACCGAACTACATTGTCAATGAGATCGAATCAGTTATTAAGAATTTCTTGTGGTTTGGTAAAAAAAAAAACTTAATAAAAGGTTCAACTATTCTTGGCAGTCATGCCCAAGGAGGTTTAAATATTCCCAAAATAATTTTAAGACAAGATGCTTTTAGACTTGTTTGGCTAAAAAGATATATTGATAATTCTTATAATGCTGTATGGAAACACTTATTCAATTACTTTTTAAAATCATATTATAGAATGAATTTAGATATAGAAGTATTTTCTATGAAATGTTTCAAAGGTGGTCTTGGAAATATACCAACATTTTATAGAGCTTTGATAATTGCCTGGAATAATATTAATAATGACGCTTGTATAATGCCAGGGCATCTATGTTTTGTTATTTTAAAAGCAATGAATGTATTGAAAATGACTGTAGAATTGTACATAATGTTATATACACTAATGAGAAATTATATACATATAGACTTATTGATGAACCCTTTTGTACACTCTGCCAAAGAAGACAAATTGAAGATATGAATCATTTTTTATTCTCCTACTTTCATTTGCCTGCCTAGCCATAATAAAACTTCGAAATAAGTTTGTTAAAACTGGGAAAGTAATAGATGTAATCAAATTATTCATTAAATGTACCGAATCTCATTTTCAATATCTGTTGTTTCATTATAAATAAAACCACTTTAGAGAACTATTCAAGACATCTAATGTATTACATATTGAGAATAATGAAGATAAATTACGCCTTAATCCCTAAAATTAAAAGGAATCGAATAGCTAGTCCATCACAATTTATTTATAAATATATTATTATGCTTTGTATTTCAAAAGGCTATGTACCGCTATGTATAGATGTACAGATAAGTATGATATGTTATTATATTATTCATTTAAAATTGAAAATTGATGAAATATATTTTAGTTAAGTAACTATGTCTCGATAATTTCCTTCGACACCCTAACTTGCCTCGAGAATTTTCGTTAAGTTTCGCTCTCTTGAGGTCCACGTGGTTCAAAGTTATTTGAAATAGATTTCTTATTTTGGGTTTAGAGCGAAACCTTTTACAATATAGAATTATGCTTTCCAACACAATCATACATTAACATAATTTTAACACGACAACAGATCACATACTGACTATATAATTACATATTTTTATATTAACTATATTATAATTACTTATCACAGGTAACATTTAATGAAATTACAAATAGATATATTTGTATTAATATACCAACTGAAAAATATACTTTTATTTAAGATGTATAGATGAGTGTGTGATTGGGTGTGTGTGTGTGTGTGTGTGTGTGTATGGGTATATTTATATATACAACTTTTAAACTGTAAATATTCTGTGAAATTATTCTTGTAGAATGAAAATAGAAAAGAGAACTACTACGAGGTTGATCTGTACGCAGCCCTTATATAAATCTCTGTTTGGCTTGTTATTTGTATGTCTATCCAAAGAAAATTAATTTCCCGACTATTACTCAGTATAACCGCATTAAAACTGTAAAAAAGGTGTGTTAATTAACAAGGGTAAAAAATGAATGTAATGGTGTGTATTGTTTATTTGGCGTGTTTTCTCGCTAGTTGCGATAACTGCACCAAAAGGAGTATAATCAAGGACCAATAGGCTTTATCTGACACCTACGTGTTAAATCAAACTTTGGGAAGTAAAACTGTTTTACTGTGCGATTTATCATTTGACCGTGTGTTTTACGCAAATCTTTGTATAATTAAAGACAGGTCTTTAGATAGGCTTGTGTGCTCGCTATGATCTACGTTTCTCTTATGCGTCTTTTGTATTGCGTACCATATATATAAAGTTGCATTTAATGAAATAAAAATATGGACCATAATCTATCGTATACGGAAAGGCGAATTTAATGTTGTCATTTATAAATACCCAGACGTCAGCGCCCAATTTGAATATCCACGCGAATATAGCAAGTAAATCCAGCAAAAACTATTTTTTCTACAACCGATATATATTTCTGCTTTATTACTAAAAAGAGGCGCACTCACCGTTTCACATTTATTAAATTCATAAAAACCTGCTACAATGCGTAAATTGTGCATCCTACCTTCAATAGCAATATCCATAAAACAGAAATCTCCATATTGATAAATACTACGACACAACCAACCGAACAGTGGTAATTCCCACACAAATGATATATTTAAACTAAAATTACTTTAGCTTTTCACTAAATGTACATTGCATACAATCCAACTATCCTCATTCCAGAACTTATAATAGCCGGTTTTCTTATGCAATTACAGAATTGTCCCGTGATATAACATATCAAAGAAACATATGCGCCCGAATTGTCACGTAATCATTTTTTGTGGCTTGTCTTCTATCGTTACGACTATACCTGGCGTTTATACTGCGTACCATATACTCACGCTAGTTATAGATGAAGTTGCATTTAATCAAATAAAAATATTGACCTTAATCTATCGCACGAATTGCAATGTCGTCATTTATAGATATCGAACAATATACTTAATCTCGTCTTCCGACAAGTTATTTGTGTCTTCAAATTTGTACCATATAACCAGATTGCTGATCAAAAAAATAATATAATTCAAATGTCAACCCAACCATTTCAGACTTGGCGTCTCACCGTTTCACACATAGTCCGGGCATAGCACAGTGTCAGCAGTCTCCTTGATAAAGTAACAATTCTATTTATACATGTAAAGGTGTGCATGAGCTTATTCGCACATATTGGAAAACTGTTCTGTTGCTTTATTTGAGAAGATACTGATATTAAACTATAAAATTTGTCAACTTTTTCTTTGAAAATTCTGATAAATCGGTAGCTTTTCGGGAGCGTTGTGTATTGCATGTTTTTATAATAGCTGAAAGAACATATAGCTTGTTAAATAGATGAACAGCCCAATGTAGATTCGAAACAAACAGCTTTGTAATTTTGGGCAAAAATACATTACCCTGTTCCCCAATCCAATTTGATTTGCTTAAACTTCACATTTCATTTAGACCTTAAACAATTACGTTTCCAACTGGTACGGAGAAGTAATTAAAATTTATAATCATCATCTGAGAGATGTTTTTGCAAATAAAGGGGACAATGTAATATTAATACTATAAATCAAAATTTTGTTACTGTTATACATATATAAAAGGACAATATTGGTGCCAGTCTTTATCACATATGTGATAGAACTGGTTAAACAAGTTCCAAATATTATTTTATCACAGAGATCATTGCTAATCAATGTTTCAACAA